ACCTGCCCCAGGAGCTGCTGATACAGTTCTACAGAGGAATCATCGAGTCTGTTCTCTGCACCTCCATCACTGTCTGGTTTGGCTCAGCAACCACACAGGACAAGTACAGACTTCAGAAGACAGTCAGGACTGCAGAAAAGGTCATTGGTGTGAGCCTGCCCTCCATGGAGGACCTGTACACCTCACGGGTCAAAAGGAGGGCGGAGAGGATCACTGCAGACACCTCACACCCTGGACACAGTCTGTTTGAACTCCTCCCCTCTGGACAGGGTTACAGGTCGCTGTTCACCAAGACAACCAGGCACAGGGACAGATTCTTCCCCCAGGCCATCACACTGATTAACACTTAACCCACGACAGTATGACTGGACAATAACCCTCAGTGCAATACCTCTGTGTGTGTGTGTGTGTGTGTACACATTGTACAGATCACACAGACTCGTACAGGTCTCTAGTTTTAAGTACTCTATCCCTTATCCCTATTTATCTCATTTCAATGAACATTCCTTGTCTGTATTGTTTACTGTCTGTTTATACTGCTTTTTCTGCATTGTTTGCATTGTTTGTTGCTGTCAATATTGCTGTTAATACTGCTTATTTTGTTATATTACACAGTCTTATGCTGGTTTACTGTTTGCACATAAACTCAAGTACCTCGGCTCTCAAATTCTTCGTGTGCCCATCACACCTGGCCAATAAAACTGATTCTGATTCTGATTAATGGAGACTGCATTAATTGTTACCAATAGGATTGCATTATGGTAGTCTAGGGCTGTCACTTTTTCCTAAAATCACGTTCGAACTATGTCCAAACCTACATAGTGAGATTGCAGGGGAGTGCAATGTGGTGGTGTACTTTAGTAAGGCATCTGCTTTTGTCCCCAGAGTTGGCAAACTATTTTACCTTGACGTCGCTCCAGGGTTGTCATTGTCCAACCATCATGTTTTTGCAAACATAATTTTACCAGCTTATTTTACTGAGAGATTAAGAGGACATGTAACTGGCCAAGCTGATAATGAATTTTAAGAACGTCCTCTGCTGGACCACAAGGCAAATTTCATCGAACAGCCTGTTGTGCTTATTGACATTTGCTGCATTTCCACTATTGGAACCTAACAAGCGATATACCCCGTACTTCCCTTAACCATCACCAAACATAGCTTGTAAGGTTGACGTGCACCGTCCTGCTTTGCTTTTCACTGTACTTTCTCTGTGTCAGTTTGTTTAGAGGAGGGAGGGGCTGCACCCCTCCCACACACTGCCTCCTCTGGGATACTGAAATTTAATCCCTAGAACACACCTCCAAAGCTGGCGCACCATAGTGGAGACAAACACAGAACCCGTGATGTTGTTATTGAAATCATGTCTATTCCGAACACTCTGAGCCCTCTTGTTGCTCCGGTGACATTTAATGCGAGCTGTCGTTTCCCTGAATCTCTATCAGAGGTAGTTAAAGCAAAATTTGCACTAACTATAGAGTCACACTGCCTACTTTTAGAGGAAATATGGCAGGTTCAAACCAGAGGTATCCTTTAAGTACAGTACTTCAGCAAACTAACTGTTACATCATTGCAGTATGGCTTTTTGCCATTTTAACACATTTATATGCTTCAACTGCCAATATATACTATACAGTCAGTTATTTGAACCCCAGCTGATTTTGTAAGTTTGCCCACTAACAAAGTAATGATCAGTCTACAATTTCAACGGTAGGTTTATTTGAACAGTGAGAGACACAACAATAACAAAAAAATCCAGAAAAATGCTTTACAAAAAAAGTTACATTAATTTGCATTTTCATGAATGAAAATAAGTATTTGATGCCTTATAAGTCAGCAAGATCTCTGGCTCCCAGGTCTCTTTTATACAGGTAACGAGCTGAGAGTGGGAGCCCTCTCAGCTCGTTACCTGTATAAAAGAGACCTGTGGCAATCAATCTATCCAGATTCCAAACTCTTCATCATGGCCAAGACCAAAGAGCTTTCCAAGGATGTCAGGGATAAGATTGTGGACCTACACAAGGCTGGAATGGGCTACAAGACCATCGCCAAGCAGCTGGGTGAGAAGGTGACAACAGTTGGTGCGATTATTCGCAAATGGAAGAAACATAAATTAACTGCCAATCTCCCTCGGCCTGTTGCTCCATGCAAGATCTCACCTCGTGGAGTTTCAATGATAATGAGAATGGTTTGGAATCAGCCCAGAACTACTCGGGAGGAACTTGTCAATGATCTCAAGGCAGCTGGGACCATAGTCACCAAAAAAACAGTTGGTAACACACTACGCTGTGAAGGACTGAAATCCTGCTGTGTCCGCAAGGTCCCCCTGCTCAAGAAAGCACATCTACAGGCCCATTTGAAGTTTGCCACTGAACATCTGACTGATTCAGAGGAAGACTGGGTGAAAGTGTTGTGGTCAGAGACCAAAATTGAGCTCTTTGGCATCAACTCAACTCGCCGTGTTTGGAGGAGGAGGAATGCTGCCTGTGACTCCAAAAACATCATCCCCACCGTCAAATATGGAGGTGGAAACATTATGCTTTGGGGGTGTTTTTCTGCCAAGGGGACAGGACAATTGCACCGCATCAAAGGGAGGATGGATGGGGCCATGTGCCGTCAAATCTTGGGTGAGAACCTCCTTCCCTCAGTCAGGGCATTGAAAATGGGTCGTGGTTGGGTATTCCAGCATGACAATGATCCAAAACACACGGCCAAGGCAACAAAGGATTGGCTCAAGAAGAAGCATATTAAGGTCATGGAGTGGCCTAGTCAGTCTCCAGACCTTAATCCCATAGAAAATCTGTGGAGGGAGCTGAAGGTTCGAGTTGCCAAACATCAGCCACGAAACATTAATGACTTGGAGAGGATCTGCAAAGAGGAGTGGGTCAAAATCCCCCCTGAGATGTGTGCAAACCTTGTGGCCAACTACAAGAAACGTCTGACCTCTGATTGCCAACAAAGGTTTTGCCACAAAGTACTAAAGCACGTTTTGCAAAGAGATCAAATAATTATTTCATTCATGAAAATGCAAATTACTTTATAACTCTTTTGTAATGCATTTTTCTGGATTTTTTTTTTTTTTATTGTCTCACTGTTCACATAAACCTACCATTGAAATTGTAGACTGATCATTTCTTTGTTAGTGAGCAAACTTACAAAATCAGCTGGGGTTCAAATAAGTTTTTTTCCCTGACTGTATATCTCATTGTTTGCTTGTGGACTGGCAGGTGAATATCTACCGCTTGGTGACAAAGGGTTCAGTGGAGGAGGACATTATTGAGAGGGCAAAGAAGAAAATGGTACTGGACCACCTTGTCATTCAGAGGATGGATACTACAGGGAAGACTGTCCTGCATACCGGTGCTGCTCCCTCAAGGCATGTAACGCATACTGCATTCTGCTGCTTGATTGACGCTTGAACTTTCCTGTGCTGTTCAATCAGCTTGTTATTGACAGAGCAGCCAAGACAACTACAGTTTTTCTTATTCATCCAAGAAGTCAGTAGTTTGTATTTCTCTCAATGGTTGCTGCACGTTGCTGTTACCTCAGTTGGGTGTGTTTTATTCCATACAGTTCTGCACCATTCAATAAGGAGGAACTTTCCTCAATCCTGAAGTTCGGTGCTGAGGAACTTTTCAAGGAGGCAGAGGGTGAGGAGCAGGAGCCTCAGGTATGTAGTTAGAGTCCAGAATCTAAGTATTTAGACAGTTATGCATTTTTTTTGTTCTTTAGGTTCTGTGCTTCAGTAAATTCAAAATTAAATAAAACAAGTGATACTACATTAAACTGCCAAGTCTCCGCTCTCAGTTGCAGAGGTTTACATCAATCTTGATGGTACCTTGTGGGG